AAAAAAATTGAAGATCCATCGAGTTTCTCGACAGTCGACAAAATCTATGAGATTTCCTACTGAGACGAGCCACATAAGGATTCGTTTAACCGACATATTCCATAAGAATCTTTTTGAGAATATAAGTAATCCGATGGGACCGACACACATGAGAGATCGTTTTGGGACCATAAGTCTGTAAGACTGTTGGATTGGTGGATACCTAACGTGAACAGGCTGGTCTTGGACGTCCTCGAAACTTATCATCCTAGGGCGGTAGTATTCCCTGATGATCATCTGCACAATTCGCAAGCCGTTAAAGCCGGCTCGCTCAAGCGCTTTTTGTTTACGGTTTTGACGGTTGCATTTTGCAAGAAGTGTTATAGGGAGTGAGTGTGATGCTAATGTTTACACGAGTGAGTTTTGGCAATCCGTTTTTTTGGCGTACTTATAATGCATAATCAAATAAGTAACTAAATAAATAAATAAAAGAACCCGTTGGCACCGATGCCGTCTACACGAACTCGTTTCGGCACCTCTCAAGACACAAAAAATACATTTTTAGGTGTCCAAAAGCGTTGGAGCATTATTATCTGCAACTGAAGGACAATTTTCTCGATCAATGGGCGAGTCGTCACAGCGTTTCCGAGGAACGTTGCTGGGAAATGGCTGCATTAGCGCTGAAAGTGGACAAAGGAGATAATCCTGGCGGGTGGGTCCCGTTTGGACTTTTGTCCTTACATCTTACTGTAAAGATATGTTTAGGTATTTCCGCGCTGAGCAGTATTTTCCTATATGGGTCATAGATCTACGAGGGCTAGAATATGTACGAAAATATATGCCTGCAGCTACGGAAGACCTCAAAGATATGAGTCGAAAAGACGCTATGATAAAATTTGCCTTTGAAGCTAGTCGGTAAGTAACTACAGCAACTATAGTATCTTACCGTAGTCACTGCTAGATTCCGTTCAAATTCAGTTTTTATACGAACTTTGTTTTAGGTCACCGTTTGCGTTGAATTGTCACCTTTACGGTCTGCGACGGCACAAGATGGATACGGTAGATAACGCTGTACTAGGCATCAGTGCAAAGTATGTATTTTCTTCGGAAAGGGGGGAGGGAGGGGGAGGAGAGGTCATTTTTGAAAATTCATGGGAGAAGGCACGGTAGCAGTTGCGGCGGTTTAGAGAATGTTTTTTGGTGGTTGAAATTGTTAAATAACATACTCTACCAATAAGAAACTGATTTTCAAAAAAGTAATTGCTGCACATTTACGTATGGACTGGATGCGTACCGAAATCGCAACCTGTTGCACACAGCTTTCTTCGAATCCAATAAAATCGATTGAAGCAAAAATTTTTCCCTGTTGTGAATCTATCAACAGTAGATGACCGAGGAAGTACTGAGAGATAGGGTTAGATGGGGAGGGAGGGGGGGGGTTTCAAGGTTACTTACATGGGTTATAAATTTGTGCGTAAGTGACTTGTTTACACTTATAAAAATTGTTTTATATCGTAACGTAAGCTTTGTTACGCTTTCTTTGTCTTTCTCCGAAAACTCTAGAAACTTTGGCAAAATCTCATGCTTGGCACTTTGAATGATATTTATTTATTTATTTATGCATTCAATGATGCGCCAACG